TTTTTAGTAAGACAGGAATCCCACATCATAACAGCCGAAATGGAGAAACAGAGCTATCGATTTATTAAAAATGCTGCAGGGGGGGAGGGGGGCAAAAATCACAAAGACGACTGATAAGATGATAGAAGTGGAAACAGGCTTTCAGAAAAGTGAGGCACAAGTTATCAAATTCATGGAGCTTAGCATTCGGTTGGAATTTCTTACCTCATACAAAGGTAATACGGTGAACAAAACGAGTTAAAAAGGAAATTTTACTTCTGTTTCTTTTCGCGTAATTCTGTATTTCTTCGCGGAACCCTAAACAAGACCTTGGCGACTTAAAATATTGGCGCTTTGCCTGGAAAATCCTAAGCGGGACCAAAATCCAAAATTTACATTCCTAAGCGAGACGACTAGCATCCCCGTCTGTTTCATATGGGAGTCCCCCCCACCCCGTATACCATTTTGCTTTTTGAAAATCACCCGATTGTAACTTCCCTCCGCACACCACACAAGCATTGTAAGACTTTGACGCTTCATATAAGTTACAGAGAGACAAATGAGAAGAGAAGTTGTCTCAAGTACCCGTTCCATCATTGTTTTCGACGCCTTGCAGCTTCACTTCTTGAGGATTCTTGAGCAGAAAACCGACGCAGGCGCATACCAGCGGTTGACCGCAACAAACAAACAATTTACCGAACATGCGCAGACACAAAGCTTCCTTCAGGTTGGTGGACGACTCCCGCATTTTTGGCAAATTCGAGAATTTGCCGAGCTATAGATTCGATTATTTATCGGGAAAAAGTTTTCAGAGGTTTATTTTTAAAGTTTTCTAGTCGTGGAAAAAAATATCAGCTGATTCAGTGTCGTTACTTTTGTCTCTTCCGTTGACGGTCCTCCTACCATTGTGATTACAGGTTTGTAATTACAGGCCTAAACATAACCGTTGCTTTACTCTCCGTGGCACAGTTGTGCTTTTTAGTCCAATTTTTATTCTCATGTAAGGTATATCCACCATATCTAATACAAATGTTGCTAAGAACGAATTTATTTGGTGAAGGACTCCGAACTCTCATTTTAGTGATAGATACGAGTAAGTTAACGAATAATAATTGAAAGTAAAATAATGATTGTTATCTCTAGAACTATGTTACTGCGATCTTTATTCGTTATTCCTGTGTGAGACACTAAATGGCCACAAAAATATGAATTTATCCAATGCATATAGTATTTCTTACAATTTGATCGAATTTCTTTATCGGGAAAATATTAATGCAGTCTGAAGAATAATTATGCAAGAACTAATAACTTTTGACTTAAGTTATGCCATCTTAACAGGATGATAGAGATAGGGAAGTGTTAACCAAAGTTTGTGCGTCAAGTGATAACCATTACTGGTTTCGAGAAGTGTCAGGAAGTTTTTGTGAAAATTAGCAAATATGATCTGAGCAGACTCTTTGAAAAATATATTTTCCAAGGGGGCTAAATTTTAAGGGTAGTCTGTCTTGCAGGGGCTCTTTGACTTTTCTACAGACCTACCTTAAGTATAATATTTTTGAGGTCTCTATTTTTTTTCCTTCCTTTTACTATTTTCTCTACAATCACTTGTAATCAAAGCCAAAAACTGCAATATGATTACATTCTTACAAGGTGCTTCTGATTCTTTTGATCAGTTAGTTTGCTCCCATATGCAACTGTATATATCATTCACATTGTTTCAAATGAGTCATTACAGGTCAATCAGTTACTTAAAATAGTCTCTGAAGATTCTAAATCTTACAATTTAGGCTCACATTGTTGATTTAGTTATTTATTTAATCAATTTCACCAGAGTTTGGTGAGGGTCGCACAACAGAGCCAGGCTCCAAATTAATTGCGCCCAATATCCCACCCATCCCACCCCAAGGGAGGACATCCATCACACAGTAATCTCGCGTGTGGGAAATTAA